ATATCAGCCAGAATACACAGGGAGGGGGAAGAATATAGGGAGTATTAGTTTCTTTTTCTAAAAGAATGTGATACCACAGAAAGCCATCTTTTTTTTCAGTGATACTGTCAGGTAGAACTCAAAACTTCCTGCTTTCAGCCACGGATTCGGACTCTGATCCTCACTGGGCTTTGATTCTTGAGGTCTGGTAATGCAGGTCACCATCACCTCACAAGACAGAGCAGAGAACAGGCAGTGTGTCCAATTCTGAGAAACTCTAGTTCACTGCTCAGTATATCAACAGCCATTGATTTCAGCTTACTTCAATATGCCAGCAAAACAGCTTGCTACTGAAGAAAGAGCACATCTTGCTTCCCACTTCCTGCTCCCCTTCACCCCCGGCTATGTAGTCCCAACCGTCTTCTTTAATCATCTCTGATGCTCATCAGATCTTCGTCATGAGACAATTTAAACTCAGGAACTTTGCAGTAATTCTCTTTTTCTTCCTCCCTTTGAGTTATTCAGTAATCCAACAGAAAACTCTTAGTTCACAGAGCACTCCAGAAAGCACTGTAGCTGTCAAAAGGTAAGAAGTGGCAGTGGATGGGGTGAAAGGGGCAAGACCCCCCATTTTGGCAATAACATACGTCCCAACTGGCGCACTGCATCTTGCAGAACACGTGGCAGATCTGACTGCTCTGCCCACCAAGGTGGTTGTCTTCAGGCATGAGTAACAATAAAGAAATATCTAACTGAAGCGGTATGTTTCACACATGCAGTTCCTTACCTGACCCACAAAGAGGGAGGCTACTGCTAACAGCGCTGTGGGCACAGCATAATTATGAGAGACTAAGCTGTGTTCTCTGCTGAATCTGGTGACACTGCACTTAATGATTTGGTCATTTAAAGCAGCAGTTAACCATTCATCTGCTGGGCTAACGTGCATGTTTGCACTAACATACTGACTCCTGATACTGAAGCAGCAATAGAGAGAAAAAAAAAGAGAGAGAGAGGACATTTGACAGTAATTTTTCTTTTAAAAAGCACATGCACACTTAGTTTTGACCTTGTAACAAATAAGAACACGGATAAAAGCAAGTGTTATCAATTAATATGTATAATATGATTGAAACAACCAGGGAATTGATGAAGTCCTGTGTACAGCCCCCATCACTTAATATTTAAAATAGGGAAACAATAACGAAACATGATTTAAGGTTTAGAAATAAACTGCTAGACAATGGAGCTTTGTAGATAGGTAGAATGCTTATGTCAGAGAAGGTAATGGATTGTGGTCCGGTCAATAAACCTTGAAGAACCGCTTGGAACTACCAAGGTTAGGGAAGAAGTAGGTAAAAGGTAATTCCTACAGGGGGAAATGGCAACCACCGACTCATTGACAACCTACTCAAACGATACAACCTACTCAAAAGACGACAATGAAGGAAGAAGATAGAGTCTGCGCGCTAATTTACATGAGAGGCAAAGAAGAAAGAACCATTCGTTTAGGGAAATAATAATGAATATATATCACTTAAATATACAAATGTGGGAATTGTTGAGACAAAGGTGTGCTGTCTGGAGACAGGCACCCATTCATGCGCATCAATGAGATTAATTTGAAAATACCTCAACTCTGTGCGTTATTGGCTTGCACACCAGGTAAACGAACCCCGTTTGAGGGACAACACAAGCAAAGTCAATTCCTTTTAAAATTTCTGACTTTTTTTTCATCTTATGGACTAACAGAAGGTAATCCAGAGCATTCTTTAGAGAACAGTAATTTAGAAGATGCTGTTTTGAAAAACAGATTGATGATCTTCAGCAATACAAATAGCATGCAGTAAAAATAACGTGTGGCGATAGGGAATGCACAGCAAGCAAACGTATTGCAGCTTTACTTGTATGTAAAAAAAAAGGACACTTTAGAAAGGGAAAAAGACAACATAAAAAGCTCACTGCTAAATACGGGGGTTTGGGCGTGAAAAATCATCCAGCCAAGGCTACCCGACTGCATTCAGTTAATTTTTCTCCGTACAGGAGCGCCCCAAACCACCGCCGACCAAGTTCATGAATCCTGCCCAGCAGCCGGGGACCTCACCAGCAGGCGGCAGCGGACACCCGCGCCCGTCGGGCCGGGAGGCCGCCCGCGCTCCGCTCTCTCCCAGGAGAGCAAAAAACAGCCGCTCCGGACGAAAAACACCTCCCCCTCTCTCACACGTAAAGCGAGCTCTGCTTGCTATTTAAAACAGCTTGCTCCCCGAGTGGCGATGCTCTTCCCAAAACACAGCTGTATTTTGGACAGCAGCTCTCCTCGGGAGCTTCTCCAGGAGCGGTACTTCCTCCCACGAGCCTACGAACCGAGGGTCGCCGCCCGCCCCTCACAGCGCACCGGCCCGAGGGGCCCCCGCTGCCGAGGAGACGCGAAGGGAGCGCCCGACCGCCGGCCGGCTGCTCGCCATGCGATGGGCGGGAAGGGACGCGGACAAAGGCTACGCCGGGCCGGGCTGCCCTTCCCTCTCTCCCTCCCGGCCGTGGCAGGGCCGGGCTGCCCTCGCGGCCTCGTCCCGGCGCCAGGCCTGTACCAGAAGCGCCCGGTACAGCCTCAGCCCCGCGCCGAAGGCGGCCGGTTTCACACACACGCCGCGCCGCACCGCCCCCTCCCGCGGCAGCACCCGCG